GCTGGACCCTGGGGGGACACTGGGGGGGGGGCATGAACCGCGGGCCTGACCCCGGGCTGTGCGCGCGCCGCCACATCGCTGAGTGAAGGACAGAGACCAGGACTTGGGCGCGGAACTTCACAGTTGCAAAAAGGCCTCGCGGATTTCTGTTGGGGCGCGGGGTCCCGGCGTGCACGTGGGAGGCCCAGGCAGAGACACTGGGTGCGGCCGCTCAGTTGGCGGTCGCGGGCAGGAGGGTGAAGCCGAGGAAGTGGAGCAAGGGACAGAGACCTTCTAGCTGTAAGGGCTTGGGGTGGTCACTCCGCAGGCTTCTGGCAGCGAGGCAGTCGCAGATGGTGTGGCCCGCCCTGCCTGTAGGGCCTCGGTGGGGCGCCGACCTTCCTGGCGCTGGCCATTGCCCGTCACCGCAGAGGTGATCGGCTCGTCGCTAACATGGGGGGGCATTGTGAACCCCAAGCGGGTGCAAACGTGGCCCTCCCAGTGGGCAGGGATCACTCCCCGTGCTAAGCCAGCAGCAGCCACCCTGTAGAGTTGGCCCTGGCCAGGAAGTGACCACGGGGCGCAGTGTATTTCAGGGGGTCCGCCTGTTCCGCCCCCCGCTGTCTGCCGTGTGCCCACCCCTGTGGGGAGTGCGGGAGCCGGTCTGCAGGCGCCCCACCGTCTGCCCTGAAGCTGCGCTCTAGGCCAGCGTTATGGTCGCCCTCATTCTTGAACCTGGGTGGGAGGGAAACAGGTGTCCACGTCCCTATTTACGTTGACCTATATAATTAGAAACCTATGATGTATTTATTTGCACACAAGAACTGGGGTGCAGGCCAGAGGTGCCGTGGATGAGGGGGCTCCCGGAGACAGCGGGGAACAGACAGGCGGGTCACCGAAGCACCCTGCTGAGGGTGCTGAGGGGCAGCGGGGGGGTCGGAGGGGTCTGCTGGGCCCGGTCACTCCTGGCCGGGATGGCTGCAGTGGCTGCGGAAGGCTTGACCGCGGGGAACTCCGCCCCGCGCCCCCAGGGAGGCGCCCTGAGTGCAGTCCACTGGCCTGCACTGCTGTGACCTTCAGGGCAGTGAGACGCCGCTGTGTTTGGCGCCCCCTGGTGGGCAGCGGGTGAAGGGCAGCACCGAGGAGCTGAGGCCTCTGCCGCGAATTCATTCGACTCCGCCCGGGGTGACCCCACGGGGTGGGGGGGGGTGACCACAGGCGACCGCAGACCCCTCCTGACCGCTCGCTGCGCCCCTCAGCGGTGTACTCTGTCTGTCCGCCTGCCCTGAGCCCCACTCTGTGTCTGGGGAAGCCTCTCGCCCCGGCACCGCTGGCCTGCACCCCAGCCCTGTGTGCATCAATACATAAATGTTTTAAAAAAAAAAAGTTGCTTGGCTATTATAAATGTTGTTAACAATAGTGGAATTTCTGGATCATAGAGTACACATACAATCAACTTTAATATATATTACCAAACTATTTTCCAAACTGAATAAATCAAATTTGCACTTGGAAAAGAAAAGAAAAAGTTACTCAGTTCTCTGGTGAGATAACCAGAAAGAAGCAGACGAGCCCGGGTGTCTCGCTCAGCAGGAGCATAAGGACCAGGGTGGGAAATGGTAAGGAGCAACCGTGTATCAGAGACATTTTCCGGGGGCGGGTGGGGAATGGGGTCAAATATGGGGGGGCGCGTAGGCGTGTGGTGACGGGAGGCCGCAGGGTGACGGCTGACGTGGAAAGAGCAGAGTGATGGGAGCAGTCGCTGAGTCCCCACTGCTGGTGGATGCTCTGTCGGGGGTCGGACTGATGAGATTTTCCGAGAGCTTTAGGAACGGTCAGTCGGTCAGTCGTGAACAGCGGTAAGATGGTTCTGCCAGCGGCCGCGGCTCCTGGGCTGGGGAAGGCGGGGCCTGAGCGCAGCCTTCCTGTGCGCCTCTCTGGCGGGGCGCCACGGCCAGCCCTGGGCCACACCCCGCTGTGTGGCCTGAGGCCGGGAGGCACACCCCGAGCCTGGGCACCGGCACCCTCACTCCGGAGACCCTGGCCGAAGGCCGCCGGGACACGCTGTTCGGTTCGCAGCAAGGAAGCGACAGCCTGGGAGACAAGTTGGGGTTTCCGGCCTGGGGGGTGGGGGCGGGGGCGCGGTGGACAGCGTTTTGTGCCCGCGAGTGGGGCAGCAGGGAGCCTGGTCCTGGCGGTCCCGCTTATTCTTGGCTCTGACGAGCCTGGGAAGCGCCCTCCCGGAGACCCCCCCCTACTGCAGGCTGCGGTTGGGGAAACTTTCGCTATCTAATACCGGACATCGAGGGGCCTCCCGGTGCGGGGGCCCAGTCCCTGCGCTACAAAGCGTCCAGCCCCTGCAGCTCAAGTCCATCCCCGGCCGGAGGGACCTGTGGGCAGCAGCCCCCCCTGTCTCCCCGCGGCCCCGCAGCCGTGGGTGTCTGGGGACCCTCCTCTTCTGCTTCCCGCTCTGTCTCTGGGGCGTCCTCTCACCCTTTATGCCTCTGGCCTGCACCCCAGTTCTTGTGTGCATCAATAAATAAAATGAAATCTATTTAGAAATCTAAATAAATCTATTTAGAAATCTATTTAAAAAGCGGAAATAACACCCGATGTGACAATCCCATTTTCGGGCTTCTCTCCCGGGGAGGAAACCATCCCCCGCCCCATGTTCTGCAGGGTTTGCAGCAGCGGGCGGTGATGGGGCAGCCTCAGGTCCTCGTGGGCAGGTGGGTCAGCGGGTGCACACGGGACCTCCCGGGGCTCAGCGCAGCGGGAGTCCACCCCCAGCAAGGGCCGGCCCCAGGGCGCAGCAGTCCCCCTGTCTCCCTGCTGCCCGCTCAGCAGTGGAATTCAGAGGTGGGGAGGGGGATGAGCGGACCCCCAGAGACAGTGGGGAGCAGAACACGCAGACCCCTAAAATACACCCCAAATAAGCTCGCCCCAGGTCCCGCGTCTGGGAGTTCCCGGGCGGGGCAAGGGG